AGGCACCTCAATATAATTAGCAAATCTTTGATCATCAATATAGAAACTTACACAATTTGACAACTTTTTTCTCAGATAATGCTGGTGAATAAGATTGTAGAAGACAAATTTTTTTTGCAACCTTATCAACTTGATACAAGTAAAACAGTAGAAGTATTCAAAAACTGCCAGTCTATTTAACATCTTAACTGTATGTGAAATGTAAATTAGAAAATCACTTGTCAAAACTTGCATATGCAAATTTGTATAGAATGTGTACATTCTAACCCACATTCTAGCCAGAATTTAACAATTAAAGCAATCTAAAAAGAGAGGATTGTGAGAGCACATAACAGAATTAGCAATTTATTGAGAAACAACAGGGGACCTCTTGTGAAAACCGTTTTTATCTCTCACACTCAAGTACCAGCAATGATGAAAAGTTTGATATGCAGTCTGTATTTTAGAGTTTATACCTTATATAAACAGTTACACATGCACTCGCTGGATTACTAGGAAGCGATTATAAGGAAAATTTGCCACACACACCAATATCATGTGGTGAAGAACAAAAACTCCTTGAACAAATATAATGAAGATTTTCATCGGAAATGAAAATCAAACAAGGTGCCCCCTAGTAATTAGAATGCACTGAGTTTTAGTACTTAATGCACATATTGTACCATCCAAGAATCTAAATCCAAATGTGATGGAGTGGGCTCGGATATCTTAATTCTTACCCCAAATAATGCCAATGAATCAACAATCGCCTTAGACGGTTTCCCTTGCACTGCAATTACACAGAAGATTCAATCTTCAATCGGCACTAACCTTTTTATAGAACTTTTTCATTAGTGAAAAATGTTTGAATAAACACTAAGGCAGTTTGGAATCAGGACACAATCAACGTGTCGAGAAAGTGAAAGACACTAGGCTAGGTGCAACTATGATCGAGCTACTTACCAAACATTACCGGCAATATGATCAAACAAATGAGTGAAGCCATGCTAACCAACAATGAGCAGCCCAAGGCATGAACCCAAAGACCTATAAAACAAGAAAGTTACACCGATTGTTAGAATCACATGGATGGTTCCAACATCAATGACCTATAGAGACATGCTGTCAATTTCCACGCAGCAAAGAATTCATTTCATGCTTTTCCATGTCAGAATAGTCCTAAACATAGAATTACATCAACACCGCGTTCATTCTACACACAGAATCCAGAATGCACAAGGCTCAATGTAACCATGGACAGCAATAAAATCACTATCTCCAACCAATGCCCAAATCCTCCTCTCAATTTTCAAGAAAAGCCTACACCAGTTACCATCAGATTCCAATGACGGACAGCACAATCTACAACGATCAAAGTATTGGCAACCCTACGCCGCATGAAATATTCACCATTTAGCAACTACAACCCAATCTATTCAGTTTGACGCATAACAGCCGACGCGACACAAATGACCAATGAAACAAAAGGCATGAATAATTGTCGTCCGAAGAAGGTTACAATGTCGAACAAATTACCTAGACCAGAGAGATCCGATTCACCAGACTGCCCATCCACATGATGATGGTGATGGTGGTGGTGGTGGTGGTGGTGGTCATGGTCAGGGTCATGACCATACTGGGTACCAAATCCATACAGCTTCAGGTCCTCTTCCTCAGCCAACTCCTCGGGCAGCTTCAAGTTGCCACCTTTCTCCTCGTGGTGATGGCCATGATCGTGATGATGATGATGGCCCTCGTCATGGTCGTGGTCGTGATCGCCGCAGCCGTGCACCTGCGGTGCAGGGGAAGAAAACCCAGAATGGGGACAGCTCCCCTCGTGACCCAAACACAGATCCAAGCACAGAACGCAGGCGACCGCAAACAAACCGCGCAGCCTACACAATCCCATGCTCGGATTCGAACGAAACCGAACTGGGTCTCGACGGTTCTTGAAGTGGGTCTTGGGTTTGAGCTGAAACGGACTCGTGGGTCGAGTGCGGTCTCCTCTCCTGCGGTTTCTATCTGGAGCGGCGTTTGCAGGTGCCTTCAATGGTGATGAAGCAGACGATGGCGAAGAACAGGACGATGATGGCGATTATGATGCCGAATGTAACCACCCCCATCGCGTCTTCGTCGGTGTCGTAATAATAAATACGGGATTTTTCATGGGTTTCGAGCGTTTGACAGCGGATTTGTTCTTGGAATCATAAAAAAAAATTGAATCTTTCCCATGCGAGAATGCTTCTCTCCTCAGAGACAATCTTGGGTAGCTCAATTCAGTAGGAGTCCTTTCTTACTTTTCTTTTTCATCGATAAAATCCGTTCAGGAGTACTTCAGTGGGAGTTGTCGAAGCAGCTTTCGTAACTCTCTGCGGCTCTTGTCCGGAGCACATCGGTTCAGGGTTGTCGAAATTACCTTTCGGGGATTGGTTCTTGACGTTTGAAATCAGAACTGGATCGGTATGGTTCCGGGCCGGTCGGTTCAATCCGAAAACGGGACCTAATTTAAATAATATAATTGTTACGTTACTTTGAAAAGCTATCGAGATTTATACTCCTTTTAATGAACCGAATCTTAGTATGTGTAGCATTGCTTCTTTTATTCGGGATCATTCAAAGGGATCATCGGCTTTGTTTCGCGGAGTCCAAAGACAGAGACACAAAAGGTCCTATCTCTCTTGTCTCCAATTTCGGATCCCTCTCGTCTCTCTCGTTTCTTCCCGTCTTTTGCTCGAGCTCTTTATCTCCTCTCTCTCCCTTTCTTTTCTTTCTATTCACTTTCCTTTGCTTGAACATCCCTTCCTTTTTTGAGCAAGAACATCCCTTCCCTGACTTGCCGCCGTATCTAGTGCCATGTCAAAACCAGAAGTTAGTCCCAGTGACTAGCATGGATAGGAGAAGAGAATCAATGCCATTGAGAGAGAGAGAGAGAGAGACTCAGTGTGAGTATCTCTTTGCACTTCTGGGACTTGGCCACTCCATGGACAAACTTTTGCTTATAGGCCATTTAGACTCGTGCTGGGCCTTGCATTGGGCCATGGATCCTAATTCCCCTCTAGTTAGGTCATGTATCTAAATGTGAAATGCAGAGGGAAAGGCCGTAAATGTAGGGCCCGTTTGGTAACGTGCCAAATAGTAAAAATTTATGTTCTTTTGTTCCCAGAAATAGTTTGGGAACAGAAATGCGTTTGGTAAATTTTTTGTTCCTCGGCACATTTTTGCAAAAATTTGTGCCGAGAAACAGTTTTGGAAGAGAAACAAGAAGTAAAAAAAAGTTGCTTCTTGTTTCTTGGCACAATTTTGAGAATCAGTTTTTTTTCTTCTTTTTCTTTTTTTTCTTTTCTTATTTTTGTGTTGTTCTTCCCTGGCTAAGCCGGCCGCGGCGACGGCGGCGACGGCCACACTTGCCAGGGCCGGCGAGGGCGTCATGGCCCTCGCCGCCGGGCCGCGAGGCGAAGGTCGCCCTCTCCGGCGAGGGCAAGGGCCGGACCTCGCCGCCGGGCGAGGCGGCCTCGCCCAGATCGAGCGAGGCCGAGCCTCGTCGTCGGTCGCGACGGCGAGGGTCCAGCCCTCGTCCTCGCCTCCGCCGGCGGCCAGCGAGGGCCGTGACGCCCTCGCCGGCCATGGCAAATGAAGAAAATGGGTAAAAAAAAAATTTAAACAATTCAAAATATTATTAAAATATTATTTGGGAACAGAAATTGTGTGTAGTTACCAAACGCATTTCTGTTCTTTTCTACTCTAGGAATAGAAATTTTGGACAGTTTATCAAACGCCTTCAAATACTCAGAAATTGTTTCCGGGCACAGAATAAAAAAAAATCATTTCTGTTCAGAAATAGCTCCCGGGCACAGAATGGTATTCATGCGCACCCGTAGTCAAATGCAGTGAGATTCCGATTGGGATCTCTAAGGTATCCTCCTTAGAGAGCACAAAAGGGGTCGTATTCCTCACTACTCCGGGAAGACAGAGATAGGGATAGTAATTGGGGGCCTTTGGGTGGTGAAGGTAAACATCACGTCGGCTTCGGCTGGCTACCTCCAAGCTAGCAGGTATAATAGTCTCCCTCGTCTGGGGTGACAAAGGCGAAGTTTCAACTTCCTACAGTACTGGCATGTGCTTCGCACAGCGCTAAGTTAATCAGTTTGCCGGCACTGTACCCCTAGTTAACTCATCTAAATGTGAAAATTGCAGAGAAAAATGCTGTAAATGTAGTCAAATGCAGTGAATTTCTTTTTCTTGTTCTTTTTTGGTTTTTTGGGAAGTCAGATTCCCATCATCATCATCCATCCCTAATAAAAAAATGTTGAGGCAATATCACTAGAATTTGAACATTAATGAATATTAATAGTGTTAGCTTGATATCTTCAAGCTTATTATTATGTGTGGATTGTAATGAAACGCGCGTTATCAAAGCTTAAGATTATGACTACGAATCATAATTTTAAACCTTTCCACACACTGGTGTTGTTAAAGTGCGCAAAATAATGTGCTAAAAAATGCAATAAATTCTTCAAAAATTGGCAAAAAAAGAGAGAAGAATTTCCAAGTTAAAAAAAAGAAGGGTTAATGCCAATGAAACCCCAAATTAGTACATCTACGATAAATTTACGCCAAACTAATATTTTGATCATCGAAAATCCCAAATTGGTACACTTGTGATAAATTTACCCTCCATTAGTTTCCGTTAAATTTTATTGTCAAATTGCTAAGTTAAATAACACGTGTCAGCTGACGGGTGTACAAGTTTGGGGTTTTACCCTCCATTTGTCACGGATATACCAGTTTATGATTTTTTTCTTAGTATTAATCCAATTTAACGGGAATTAACGAAAGGTAAATTATCACAAATATACCAGTTTGGAGTTTTTAGTGATGTTGGGTAAATTTATAATAGATGTCCCAATTTAAGATTTTCGATAGAGAAAAAATTAATTTAAGCTTAAATTTATCACGTCCGCACCGATTTCGTTTTATTACCACAGACAAGAAAAGAGAGAAGCTTGTTGAAACAAAAGGTCGCGGGTGACAGAGGAAGATTCATTCCCTCCATAGCAGGCAAAGTCCCCCGTTCTTGTTTGTCCCAAGGTCCATCCTCTCAGCTTTTTTACCCACTGAACTTCACCCCGGGAGCGCGCGACGACCACCACCACCACCGCCCTCATCAATGGCTGCTCGGGTGATAACGGTGGCGCCGGACGGTACCGGCGACTTCGGCACGGTGCAGGAGGCCATCGACGCGGTCCCCCTCGGCAACGCCCGCCGCACCGTCATCCGGGTGTCGCCCGGCGTGTACAGGCAGCCCGTGTACGTGCCCAAGACCAAGAACTTCATCACCCTCGCCGGGGTCGGGCCCGAGGACACCGTCCTCACTTGGCACAACACCGCCTCCAAAATCGACCACCACCAGGTAAACCCGCGAGCTTCCCTTCTCCATTCCGTGTGATTTTCCGGAACTGCCGTGGAGTGGGGTCCCTTTGATTGCGGCTGATGCCTGGATGGTCGGCATTGTCTTCTTCAGGCGCCTCGTGTGATCGGGACGGGGACGTTCGGGTGTGGGAGCACGATCGTGGAAGGGGGAGATTTCATTGCTGAGAACATCACTTTTGAGAATTCGGCTCCTGAGGTAATGAGGTGGACTTGGAGGTATTTTTCTCGTTCTTTTGCTGCTGCTGATGTGGTGGACCGACAGATATTTGTTAGAATGTCCGAGAGTAGAGAGAGGAGGAGAAGGGGAGAGAGGAAGGAGGGCGGAGAAGATAAGGAGAGAATAGTAAAAGAGATTGTAATTTCATTTGTTTCTTGGATTCTTAAACTTGTCAAGTAGAGTTTGTGAAACAATTCTCTCGGTCACAGAGTTCTCTGTCGGATTAACTGTAAGTTACTGACGGGACACCTAATAACTAACAAATGACTCTCGCTTGACAACTTAGCTACTAAGTATATTCAAGTGGGCTCAGCTCCTCCTTCAGACGGTGGACAGCAACATCCCTGACCTGGGCAAACCTGGAATATCATTGGTTAGGATTAGAGGTGGCAGTAAGGGTAGTGGAAAGGTTGATGGAAGCTCCTGCTCCTAAGCATGGATTGTGAAAGTAAACCTGGAATTTGGGTAGTGGAAAAGTCGATGGAAGTTCCTGCTTCTAAGCATGGATTGTGAAAGTAAACTTGGAATTTGGTTTGTGCCAATACGTAAGGGAACTAAACCTCACCGTGTGACTCAGACTCCTCCTTGGCGCATAAATGAAGGTGGAAATGAAGTTGGTTTCAGGCGAGCCAGGACTTTCTTGGAGCATCATTACATCAATATACTTTTTCTTGGAGAATTAGGAGGTTCGCATCGACCTTTTCTAGAGCACTTTTAGATAACACAAAACTCAGCAGACACCTTCTCAGGGCTCTCCATATATTGACTGAGAACTCCAATTGCACACGTAATAACAGGTCATGCCACTGTGAGGTTTATCCACTCCTCTCCTATGCGAGGACACCATTATATATTTGAAGTTTGGCACTTGGATCCATAGGAAGATCTACATGGTTTGCTTCCAAAAGTCTCATTTCCTCCAAAAGTTTAGTGACACACTTTCCTTTGAGAAAGATTGATCCCTTGTTTAGATCTCGCTATTTTAATATTGATGAAGTACCTTAACAACCCAAGTTCCTTCGTTTGAAAGTAATTACTCAGTTGGCACTTTACCGACAAATGCTATTTTTGTCATTGCCATTAGTACTGTATCATCTAAATAGACAACTAGGGATGTAACCATTACAAAATATGTGCGCAAGCTAGAATGATATGAAGCATACCTTTTCGTATTGAGTTATGCAACAAGTTGTCTGCCACATCAGTGTGCATTCTGGACGTCATCAACATGCCATCACCACGACAGGCCAGATCTGACAAATCACTGCCACGTCAGCATGCAGTGGCCCGTCATATTAATCCCATTTCAATAGTACAGCTAATGCTAGTGTTGTCCTACCATGTCATTTATCGACTGCCAATTGGTGCATTGCCTTGTCAGCATCCTAGTCATTATCCCTTTGTTTGACACATGGAGTTACGTCATTAGTGTCGCCATTCTTCACTTTCCACAGATTCGAGTGTGAACTATTTATCTTCTTTAATCTATTGAAACCTAAGGGAATAGGTAAGTCAACCTATGGTGCCTGGCTGGGTCTAATACTAACAGAACCCATTCCTGATCAATTTGTCTTTGCTTCCGTGTAGTGATATGTAATGACATACTGTTAAAAGGCTCTCTTGAGCTTAAAGCATGTAAAAAGGGAAAAATGAAACGAAAGATGGTGGAATTGCGAGAGCGGTTGCAGCATTGAGGCAGTGTGGGACTTGGCATGGGCGGCATTCTATCTTCTGCAATTTCAAGATATTTTTACCTAATTTGTGTTCTTTGAGGTGTGAACATTGTTATGTATTCCTTTTGAATTGTGTTGTGTGTAATCAGATTTCTTTTTAGCAGGGTTCAGGCCAAGCTGTGGCTATTAGGGTGACAGCAGACAGGTGTGCCTTCTACAACTGCAGGTTTCTTGGTTGGCAGGTAAAGTCATCATTTCATCTTGGAGTTTTTTTATTGTCTAGTCATTGGAATCTGCTGAGACCTGAGTCCCAAGCTTCCTGAAAAAAATAAAAAGAAAGAAAAAATGGAAGCTGATGTAGGGAAACTTTTAGAAGGAGGAAGAAAGGAGTGAAAATAGAGGAGAAATCGATGGAGATATCTTTGCATATTCGTGCGTCATAACTAGCAATGTTTGGGTGAAATTACGTATTCATTCATCATAACTAGCTTATGGGATTACCCTGTGTCCCCTGGTAGAGCCTGTACAGTAGAACTAATTCTACATCCACAGCATCTTGCTTTTTCAAGTTACATCATCGTTAACGTCCAGGTTATTAAACTATGTATTGGTTGGTCACTTCTTTTTCCTCAAGGAAGAATGAAGGGAAGTGAGCTTAAATGAAACAATAATCCTCCCAAATAACTTCCTCAGGGGACCAATCAGATCGCTAAACTCAAAATTTGAGGGATTGCTACTTTGTTTCTTTTAACAGTTCTCCTATCCACGATAGCTTTGGTCCTGCTACAAAATGGATAGCTTTTGCAAGGAGGCACAAGCCTCTTCCTTGCTTCCAACTTCTCTTTTCAACTATAACACATGAAACACTAGCTGATCTAGACTACCTGAAGGTAGTCACACTTAGGCCACAAGATCAATTCTGTCAGCAATGGTACTAAACACTTTGTCTTGATCACTAGTGATGAGGAAGCACATGTTATTGTGATCATGAAAATTCAAAACACCTAGAGTCATCTGAGGATGTGTTAGAGTGAGAAAAAGGGCAGCATGGTTAATCAATATAATGACCACCAAATTTTATCCTTCCTTCATGATCGTTGTAATACTTGCATGATGTGACAAAGGTTAAAGTAAACTTCTCTTTGATTCTTTGATGGACGTGTTGCCTCGAGGCAAAAATGTGAATGTAATTATTTATCCCTGTCCAATAGAAAATTTGCTTCATCTTCGATAAGTGCACAGTATACGAGAATGTGCTCCTAAAGCAGATGCTACTTAGCCACTGCCTATTATGTTGTACCATTCTGCATGATAATCTGTATAATGTGAGAGAATCAGGTTTTTTATGAGGATCAATTATCACTACAATCGATTTAGTGGCATTACTGTGACTGCTGCAAATAGCCTACGTCCAACTAGCAATGAGCATAGAGATTACACAATGAATTGTCCGATCTCTTCCATTGATTTGATCTTCAAACTTGTGACTCTCTGGTCTATTGTTTGCTGTAGATGGAGTAAAAGTGACCGGTGGACTAGTCACTGTGGAACGGGAACTTACTAACCGGATCACCGGTTTTTCTGTTAATGATGCAGGATACATTGTACTTGCATTACGGGAAACAGTATTTAAGAGATTGCTACATCGAGGGAAGTGTAGACTTCATCTTTGGCAATAGTACTGCTCTTTTGGAGCACTGTCATATCCATTGCAAGTCAGCAGGTTTCATAACAGCACAAAGCAGGAAGTCTTCTCAGGAATTGACTGGTTATATTTTCTTAAGGTCCTTAAGCCCCCATCTTGCTTATTTTTTGAAAGGAGAATTGAATTTATCTGTTGATTCTTTTTGTGCATTCAACATAGACTATACTTGGTGCACTTGATTGCTGCTATCAAAGATGAATTAGTGTTTTCTGCTACCTAATTGCATTTCATGCTGATGTCTAGACCTTTCTAGCAGTGAGTGGAGCCAGTGTGTATGCAATCAGAGCACTTATACGACAAGATAAATTATCATCCTTCACTGGGGAAAAAATTCACACCCTTTATTCCACAAACTGTATATATATTGATGGGATAAGTGCACTAGAAGTCTTGAAACTTGTTGCATAAATGCCATCAAGTCCAAGTTCCATCAAGTCCTAAAGCTCTCAAATAAATGCAATCAATTCCAAATCTTGTCCAAGTAGTGCAATCAAGGCCCCTCGTTAGCTCTGTCCAATTTAAATAGCAGAAAATGTTGATGTGGTATTTTTTAATATTTTTGAGAATATAAGGCTCTGGTGTGTGGTCAAATGAGTGCCACATCAAGAAAAGGGGAAAAAAATGTAAAAGAAAAACAGAACTTGAAGAGAGAGAGAGAGAGAGAGAGAGCGAGAGAGAGATCACATGACCAGGGGAAGTTTGAAGGCTGGCGGTGCCTTCGCTGAGGTCTGTCAACCCTGTTTGATTCCACACTCTACAATTAGCGTTTCTTTTTCGGTTGACAGTTTAATTACATGCCATTGAATTGACTGTTGACGCTTGCAATCTAGTGAATTGAGGCTTCAGTTGTTGAAAGATTAAGTTTTTGTATATATAAGGCTGCGAATTTTGTGAGAAACCAGGTTTGTTTTTCTGTTCTTTTTGTGAATTGGTCCGAGGATTGCTGGCGAGGTTCCAATTCGAAGAAGAAAGCTGATAAAGATATTGAATTGATTGCTCAATTTAATAGTTCTGAGAAGAACGGTAAGTTTTTGGATCAATGTACTGGAAAGAAGACTGCTCTTATTGTGGTTAGTGATGAGGAGGGTTTCTCCATTAAAGTCCCAGTACAGAACATGTGTTCACTTACAAATTGCCTGTGGCAGGCCAAGGGTTGCCGGGGTGGACGGACCTTGTCAGTCAAGGTGCCGCCGCCCCTTTAAAGTCTCTCTCTCTCTCTCCTTGTTCTTTTTAAATATAGTTAGCCTTCTTTATATATTTTTGGCCTTGAAAAAATGTGACAAATCCATTTTTTGTCACTCGAATCAGACGAAGCTACAAAATTCTTGATTGCATTGATTGGACAAGTTTTAGGATGATTACTCTCTTTGAGAGTTTTAGGATTTGATTACACTACCACTACAAGTTTTAAAACTTCTACTGCACTTATCCCATATTAATTGTAAAGGAGAACAATAATGTCCAAGTGGGAGGAAATAACATCAAATTCAAAGTGTGTATGATCACTAAATGGCTGCATTTTTTACCAATGAAATTCTGCAATGCTGATGCAGATGTGTCATCACTGGCACTGGAGGAACTTCATATACATATCTGGGACGACCATGGGGACCTTTCGGAAGGGTGGTATATGCATACACATACATGGATGCTTGTATCAAGCAAGTGGGCTGGAATAATTGGGGAAAAACTGAGAATGAAAGAACTGCTTGCTTTTATGAATACAGGTATGTTTTCTTCGGACTCTGGGGATTTTCGCATTGAGCACATTCCATATCTAGGAGAGGCGTGGGTACTGCTAAATGGCAAATTCAAATTTGTTTTTGTGATATAATCTGGCTGTGGCTTGAGATTTTTGTGGAAAACCTGCATGTTCTGAGCATTCCTAAGCATCTTGGTTTGCCTACTCTACTAACTTCGTGAGCCACTAAAATATTGATGAACTTAAAGAATGAAAAAAAGATGTAGGTTTCTTTGATTTGAGTTATAGCGTTATTTTTCTGGGTAAAGGTAGGTTTCTTGGATTTGGTTATTAGCGTTTTTTCTGGGTAAGTGGAGGGGTTGCGATACTTATGTTTTTAATTGAGGACTAAGAACAATGAAATGTGGTGGGATGCATACAAAAAGAATTGATGTTTGTGGCTCTTTTTTACATTTGATGCAAAAAAACAGATATACAACCAAATCAAGTAATGTATTCTGGATCCATTGAATTTTTGTCTAGTATAAACAAAGTATACACTTGGTATATGCTTCTTGATGGGGTATGTCAACAACCTACTTTTTTGGCTAATTATTCTAGTTGAAAGTGCAAGTAAATGCTAGATTGGATGATTATATTCTATTTTCTCAGATGTCTTCTCTGCGCATGTTATGACTAGCCATGACTCATACATTCCTGATCAAATGCAGGTGCTTTGGGCCAGGCAGTTGTCCCTCAAAACGTGTGACATGGGCTAGAGAACTGGTTGATGAAGAAGCAGAACAGTTCCTAATGCATAACTTCATCGACCCTGACCCCGAGAATCCTTGGCTTGCTCAGAGAATGGCCATTAGGATACCATTTTCTGCCTAGATGGTTTCGAGGTGTCACTTTTTCAAAAAATTTGGATTCTGAACGTTAGGCCAAGAATGTACGGGGGGATGTAACTTGATGTCTGGACGTGGGGATAATGGATTGCTGTTGGTGTGAGGTGCTCGGACCACTCGGCTCTTTGTCTGGTCTGAGGAGGGATCATAATTATGTGGCTATTGGATGTGTGATGCTTTACATGGTGCAGTTATTGTCTTGAGATCAAGCAGAATAAGCACTCCTCTGATGCCATTTTCTATCTTATTAGTAGAGGTGACGGACGGGTGGGTTGAATACGGTAGACCTGAGTAACCCGTTATTTATACGAATTGACCAAATGCAATCCAACCTATAGAACTATTATCCATTGCAACTCAATCAACTTGGTTTAAACGGGAGTTTCGTGTTCTTGAGTCTCTATTGTATCCATACGGTTGATGTAGAATCTTTATAGTTCTTGAGCATTGCAAGACTAAATTTAACTGGAAGCCTTTTTACTGATGAATCTAGCTTTTATTTCTACTATCCTGTGCCTTTGAGCTTCAGACCAAGTGTGGCGTGGTAACTATAGAGCAAACACTAGGAATTAATTTTTACCCTCTGCATTTACTGAATCCTGTAGTTTTTTAACTGATGAATCTAGCTTTTATTTCCACCAATCCTGAGCCTTTGAGCTTAGACCGAGTGTGGTGTGGCAACTCTATAGAGCAAACACTTGAAGTTGGTGTTTGCCCCTGCATTTGCTAAATACTCTTGATATATAAGGGAATCGGTTGAGGTTTTCAAATGGAGTGAAGTACTGCCGTCCATGCGAATTCTCTCTCGTTTATTGCGGCAACAATGGCTGTTGTGGAGCTCCTCATTTGAAAATTTGTTCTAAAGATGAGCAATATGATAACGGCAGACCAGATGACAATTCAAGTAGAGATGAAGGCGACTTCAATGTTGTTAGTTCTGCTCGGCACCGGGACAGGGTTTCGGGGTAGTATTCTTGGGATTTTGCAGCATACTACATTTCAAACTGTCTGAGAGGATCTCATGCTTTCGGGCAACGGATAGCACGCAAATGATTACCATGCTTTGGCTCGCGAGAGCTTTTCGATTTCCACCATGCAAATTGGAGCTTATTTAGTAAGTAAATTTCTCTCTCTCTAAAAGATCCACATTTTCTCTTCCCTTTTCGATGCATCCGTTGGCCTTGTTGTGAAATTACAACAAGTTCTTGCATTTCGCTCCCGATAGTAAGATGAACTTACCCGTTAGAAGCTTCGAGTAATTAACAAAGGAGATGTACTCATTGTTCTTCAGCTATTTTCTTCTCTTGCTATTACAAGATCAAGTATATGTTCAATGGACAATGATGCATGGTCCATCTTCATGAACCGAAATTCCAGTCCCACTGACTCAGAAGCCTGTCATCACGGCTGGAGAGTTGTCAAGTTACATTTTATTCTTAAGAAATGGACCTCAACACCCTGTTCTTTATTTCGGCCTAAAAGCATGTAATAAAAAATTTAGGGATATGTTTACTAGAAGTCCTAAAACTTGCAAAAAAATACAATTGAGTCTTAAAACTTGCAAAAAGTGCAATCAAGTCCTAAAACTTGTCAAATTGGTTCAAATGAATCTTAAAATTAACACCGTTAAATTTACTAACGGAAAATGATGACCTGGCGCTGACATGGCTTATTTTAATATTTTCTCTCTCCTACGTGGCTAAAACGATGTCGTTTTGGCCCAAATTTAATTTTTAATACTAATTTTATTTAAATTAAATATAAAAATAAGCAAATTTTTAAAAAAGGGAGGAGGACCGGCGGGGAGGGAGGGCTTGCCCTCCCCGCCGCCATCACCGCCCCACCATCGCCGGGAGGGGCCGGTGAGGGTGGGGGGACGGCAGGCTGGGGTCGCCGGAGGGAGGGTTCCCTCCTCGCCTGTCCTCCTCCTCCTCTAACTTTTTTTTTTTTTTTCATTTGGCTTATTTTTTAAATATAATTTAAATAAAATTAATATTAAAATAATAATAAGTCACGTCATTGCCATGTAGGATAAAATATTTAAAAAAAAGCCACGTCAACATTTTTCGTTAGTCAATTGGACGGTGTTAACTTTAGGATTCGATTGAATCAATTTGACAAGTTTTAGAACTTGATTACACTTTTTGCAAGTTTTAGGACTCAATTACACTTTTGTGACAAATTTTAGGATTTCTAGTGAACATATCCCAAAAATTTATCCCTGTCATACTACAATATCGTCCAGCTAGTTACCTTTCTCGCATCGGTAAACTCCATATATGGTCGGTCCCAACACTGCAAACATGTCAATCTTTGGTGAGTTGCCATGCATGTTGGTAATTTGATCCACATGTATAATTTCAGATATAAATCGCTGAATTCTATGGTAAATTTTTATGCATATTTGTAAAATTCATGAGTATATAATATTGTACCGTGAAGTTCATAGCGGTAAAATCATTATTTCATCGATAACTTACTAGCAACTAGACCCGATCATTGGCCGGCTGTACACGGCCCGCCAAAGTCCAACCTTGCTCGATCCACAAGGGCCTGAAGACTTTTGGATAGGCTTGGACAAGGGCATTTAGTGAGAAAGTTGGCTCGACTCAACCAGAAGATTTATGTATTAATGTATAATGATGGGCAAGTTTGGGTAAAAATTCCGGCCCGATCTTTAAGGACCTGGTTGTGCTTACCCAGTGACCAGTTCTACTAACAACTAATCGGGCAAACATTGAACAATAAAAGCAGTGTATAATTTACAATTGAATTTGATAGTAGTAAAATCATTATGTGTTGGTCAATTAATAACAACTAAATGAGCCCACTTTAAATTTTAAAAGCAATTCTAGTACTGAATTTGAACTTTAGAGTGTATTCTATTTGTGCATTTTTTATTATCTAAGTAGAAAACAAAACTATTCAGAAATGCTTGTGATCACTTATTACAGTAGTCACTTTTTATGCTTGTTCACTTCCACTCATGATAATCAGTCATAATTTTAAACCAATGATTCTAACTTGCTCCTATCAAATACCACACAAGTACAACATCCTCCATATAAGTGCAGCTTGGGAGGTAACGCTCCCCCAATTCCTCTGTGTTCTGCAGAGACTGGAGTACAACCTCACCTTTGCAGGTTTTCATGGAAACAATTTCTCAGCTCGGCAACCTTTCCAAGTCGCACTGCTTGGATCTCACTAATATATTTTATCTGGAGTTATCCAAGAACTGACAACTTCCAATGTATATCAGAATACCTCCTTGAATTAAGGGAAAATGACACAAACAGTTCCTGAACTTTGATCCAATGTGCAATTTGGTCCTTGAACTTTTAATTTGTTCAATGTAGTCTCTGAACTTTTAATTTGTTCAATGTGGTCCCCAAACTTTTAATACATGTTCAATTTAGTCCCTGAACTATTTGACAATGTTCAATGTAGTCCTTCTATTAATTCAAGTTCAGGGACTACATTGAACATTTTCATATAGTTTAGGGACTAAATTGAACATGTACTAAAAGTCCAAAGATCACATTGAACATATTAAAAGTTCATGGACTAAATTGAACATTAGGCTAAAATTCAAAGACTACATTAAATAAATTAAAAGTTCAAGGACCAAATTGCACATTTGATCAAAATTCAGGGACTGTTTATGTCATTATCCCTTGAATTAATTGTACCCATCTGGTGTTGACCTTTTGAAGCCAAGGATTGGTCAACTTCCATCAACATGCTTCCTTCTCTGCAATCTTGGCAACTAGTGCAACAAATTTCTCACTCTCTGCATTTCAATTTCACTTCTCTTAGTCTTGCATTCCTTGACATCGCCGTCTTGCATTCCTTGACATCGCCGAGATCATGGGAAGCAACCAGCAGCTTAGCTTCCTGGATAATCCATGAACAAGCTAGGAGGTGAAAATTCGAAAAGGTTTTAGCAGTCTTCAGTAAATTCCCGGTAGTAACATGAGCAAACAACTTTAAAGGAAATCTTTTAGGCATCCAAGAGAGAACTTCACTTCATTACATCTAATCACTTTGCAAATCAGGTGTCCAACCCATCCATCCGGACCCTTAGACATCGTTATGGTCATTAATTATTCAGACAAAAACTCCATCTACAGGATCTATAGAGCATGCAATATCTCTGCACATTAGCCAAAATCGTTTGTCTTTCTTTATAGTTTGTCATCGTAAATATCTACACAATTTGCGGATATCAATGCCACTACAGTAAGATCCACCTCACTGTAAATATAAGGAAGTACATTTGCATTACCACTGCGGCACTGCCTTTTGCGCTCCCGACATGATGGACACAATCATTAACGGTTGCACTTGATGTGTTGACCATTTGACGGGTCTTGCAAGGCATGACTTTGGAATTTTTTAGTCGCTTCAGGTGGCCAGCCATCAGAGAAAAGGGCTTTGAAAAGATGTCTGTGGCCTCTTAATTTTTCTGTCTTTTTTTTTTGTGAATGAAGACCAAATTCTTCCTTAAGGATTTTGAAAAGATTTCTTTTTTTTTCTTTTTGCATTTATTTACTTAAAAGGTGTTCTTCACATTTTCCACTTCTTTTAAAAGTCTTTGTAAGTTGGACACATTACAACAATCTAGCTATATATCATTTCATATTAGAGAATATTAAGATACTATAGATATTATTTTATGAAAACTCCGAGGATGATAAAATTAGTTATGTACTTAACTAAGAAATTGGTTAATTGGTTCCCCAAAAAGCTAAGAATTTTCTTACACTAGAAAATTTCTATTACCATGCTTTGGTTTATTTTTTATTTCGGTGATAGAAATAGGAGCTTAGTTACTAAGTAAAAAATCATCTCACAAAAAAAAAAAAAGAAGGTTGATGAACTAATCACCTGATTTTTGTGCAATTTGTTGGTAACATACCAACAAGTTTTTGAAATTACCAACTTTTCAGACAGTTTGCAAATGACCTACTTTCATCTGACTTTCTCACCAAATCCTTAAATTTAACAGCTCTTATGTTAATTTATTAATCTATTTTTGAGTGATTACTTTTTTAAAAAATTAAATTACCAATTACTTTTGGGTTAACCAACTCTAATTTCACATACTTATCAACATTTATTTTTTTTTTAATTTATCAACTTTTGTTATTGATTAATATACCATCTTTTATTTGCCTTTCTTACAAATGCCTTCAATTTGTCAACTGTTATATCAATTTATTGATTTATACTTGTTTAATTTACCAAGTTTTCTTCCATTAGGTTACTTACTAGTTGTGGTTTAACAACTCTCATTTGAGTTGCCAATCAACATTTATTTGAATTTTTAGTTAAATTTACCAAATTTAATTTGGCTTTCCTACCAACTCGTCAAATCCAACTCTTCTTAGAAGTTATCAAACTTAATTAGAGTGATTACCAATTTTTCTCCGATTAAGTTAACTAACTTTGCGTTACCCACTTGTACTTGAGTTGGTTATTGACATTTATTGAACTTTATTAAAATTATTAACTTTTCCTATCTCTGACCAAAAAAAAAAAACTTCTTTTACTTTTTAGTTTTTACCAGCTTTTATTTATCTTTCTTATCAACGCCTTAAATTTACCATAAATAATATGAAACTACCAACCTTTACTTAGGGAACTTACCAACTTTTCGCTGATTTTTTTCTGGTCAATACGTTTCGCTGATTAAGTTACTATCCAATTTGAGTTTACCAACACTCATTTGAGTTAACTGCTAATGTTATTTATTTTTTAAAAATATTTACCAACTTTTATTTGCATTATCTACCAACTTGTTAATTTCCTAACTCCTTTTAGAAATTATCCACCTTAATTAGTGTGATTACCAACTTTTCTCCGATTAAATTACTAAATAGTTTTGCCTTACCAACTTTAATTTGAGCTAGTTTGTAGTGTTAAGATACATGTTGAGTTATTGTTAGAAAGTCACACATCGAAGAATTGGTGTAATCTGGAATAGTTGATATATTCTAGTTGGTCCATAACTCATAAGCTTAAGCTTTTGAGTAAAGGTAAATCTTACTGGATTTGTTCACGAGCTCATACTTGGCTCTCTTAACAAGTACTGTCATGTATTTGGTTTATTCAAATTACCAACTTTTCTTATCTCTAACAACAAAAATTATCTTAATCTCTTCACAAACTTATATTTACTTTTCTTGCAAATATTTTAAATTTATGAAAGATCACATCAAATTACCAACCTTTTTTTAAGTGATATACCAATTTTTGACTGGATAAATTACTAACTATTGGGAAAACTCCCTATGGGATTTTGATAATTCCAAAACTATACTTGGTTTAATATTTACCTGATGATTGTAGATGTTATCGGTGAAGTGATGATAATTTCAGGAAGATAGTGATACAATCTTCACTGAAGCAGAAGACATGTCATCACTGCATAGTTGCCAAGGTATATTTAAGTTCTAAGTACTGTAAAAGTTACAATCGAGATATCATTGCATCAGCTCATCGTCTGTTGAGGACGATTTCATCGTTTCTTGCAGTATAACATATACAGATTGTTTGTGACCGGCAAGTGCTGTTAACTTTAAAGCATTGCTAGTAATTTGTTTTGTAACCAGCATGAGTGTAACAAATTAATTGTCAATAAGTTACCAGCTAATGTTACAGCTTATGAATATCGTGTCGGTAAATTACCAGCCTTTGTTCTGATAAAGTTGTCAATTAAATCAAATTCATCTCACTTACCAACTTACATTCTTGCTTTTAACTTATAATCTTGCTTTTGGCGTTTGAGATCCGAGTTTTCTTCAACACGACTCAAATCTTCAAAGACAGGATGTACGTATAAACCTTGAACCACATTTTCAGTGTATTTGTGATCATGTAGTCCAGCAGACATAGGAATTGATTATAGTGACCAAGATATTAGTAAAACAAAGGATATCATTAAAGCTACTGCAGCAAACTATCCAATCCCACAACTTTTTCCTTGTACTGCCAAAATTTGATCAAAGGATTTGCTCATGACGTTCCTAAAAAACTTCTGTTTCCATCAATGAGGGAAAAGAAGAGGAGAGAACCATCCAAGTTGCTTAACAAAATAAGCAAAATGCAACAGACAACAATTGAAAGCAAGATCAACCACACTTACGATGAATATATGTACATTCGACACTCCCGAATAACAAAAAATCCCGCGAAATGAAATATAAACTTTCACTTCTTCATGCGCCATATATTCCTACAATCTATGAAACAATAACTTGCAGTCGCCAAAAGAAAGCCACATCGTATCCACAGAATTGCTAACTCGCTTCTAGAATCTCAAGGAAAAACACCTGATTCACATCCTCAACTGTCAGTTAACACCACTGAAGAAGTCACTTTGAGAAAGTACAATGGTAAGCTACTGTGTACACTTCCTTCGCTATTCACAAGGTCGCCGCTGAATCTCCAGCACAAGTAACCTGTCCCTGGAAATAGAAAAGAAGTTTCTGGACCGTGAGTCTAAACCCTCAGAGAAACAATTAATACGTGACAAATCAACTCTCTCCAAAACAAAATTAGTATCAATGGTCACGAAGTTGTCATCAGATTCCCGAAGCTGATGAATATACAAGCGAATGGAAAGATAGATGAGCTCAACTTGAAAGGACAATCATAGTCCATCCTGTACTCTAATGAAATTAATGCCGTTCTTTTAATTAAAAAAACACAGCACACACACACATTGCCTCTGTTTCCTCCTTTTTTAGGTTTTCTAGAACATAGATAAGGTGGTAGGCTAGTTAAATGCCACAACCATCTGCTACTTAGTTTAAATGAGTTTGCACTAAAGGATGATAATAAGTGAACACTGCAAAACATAAAGTAAGGGTGTCTTCAACAAAGAGAATGCAAAGACAAAATATAAAAGAGGTGCATATAGTTTTTAACTTACTTGCAGTATAAACTATTCACTAGGGAAGGAACACATGCGCAGAATTTTGAATTGCATATTATAGGACAGATGTACCATTGCAGGTTTTCAGAGATGTGGTGGAGACCCCAGTTCGGAACCGCAAACGGATGTATACGTTGACATTGAGTCCTCTTTAGATATGGCCACAAAGTTCAATGGAGCGGTGGATAACCTTCTCATTGCTTTGAAATGACCATTTTGACGTCCAGAATATGATCTTGGTGTGAGGAGCTCTGGAGTTGCACCTCCCATTGAATTACGGCGTGGTGTCGGAGTCATGGATCCATTCCCGTTAGCAGAATACCCATTTAGCTTCCTGAAGCTGTTGCTTTTTCTCGGACTGGGCTTAGACCCGTACATGGCTTCCTTCTCTGTTAGAAGCAAATCTTGAAGCTTCTTTTGGTCCTGTAAAAGCCATATGTTCAGAAAGTGTTCACTCAAACTTCTTTCTTGATTCAGTTCAGACAGGGATATTTAAATTCTTCAAGAAAATTTTAGAAGTGTCAAATTAGAGCGGAACTTTTATCATCAACATGAGCTTCGCTCAGATATAACACATGAAACATTACCCTGAATCTCCTCTTCTCCTCTTCTTTCTGTTTTCTGGTCAATTTGTAATCGTCCAGTATGGATACCAGTCGTACCTTTAAAGACATTATCATAAGAAAATCAAGTACCAGAAAGAACAAGAATGTGTACGTTAAAAGATTTACTGCATAAGTACTCACTCCGTCGTAAAGGAATAAAGCCCTTTTCTCATCTTCCCATGCCAGTGTTCGGTTTATTAGATTGTCAACCATCGCTGCATGGAACAGCTATTTAGCCACAGGAACAAGTCGTTCACCAAACTGGGGTAAAAAAAATTGTATGATGAGACAACCACCTGGAATTTTGCTAACAGCCACTCGAGCTCGTTCGGCTCGTTTCAGGTTAACATGAGCTCCTCTTCCAGCATTGTATCGGTTCTCGTCCTAAAACCAAGCACATAATTAGTAGGCAGAGGTTGGTAATATGATACGTTTAAATGAAATACCAACTTCCGCTATATCTCATCCGGTAATGATAATAAGACACTATAAGTACTTGGCTTGGGATCACATTTTCTAAGACCATTGGCTTACTTGGTTATACTCTTCAAGCCAGTTTTCCTCCTCGCAGGCAGTGAGCCATCGGTCAATTCTATCCATTATTTCTTTTCTACTCTCAGCTTCATCTTTTACTTTAACTATCTGTGCTTCAATATTTGCCAAAAGCTCCGAGGGATCTACTAACCCTGAAATGCGCAGAATTTGTGACTTAAGGTTCTCTTGTTAAACACACTATGTGGAAGAAAGGGAATCGCTAAGGCAAGGATTGAGAGAGTATACCAGAATCTATCAGTGCATTGGATTTCTCAGCAGAGGTGCTAGTGTCAGGTACAATATGGGCAAGTCGGCAAAAATCTTCCAATTCTGACCTCCTTTTCATGACAAGTTCCTTCATTCTACTTGCTTTCAAAGTAGTGAGCCTATCCACTTCTGCTGATGCCTGGCGGCAAGTTTTCCTTTTTTATTATTAAAAACATAACATGACAGAAAAGGACAACACATCAACAAACAGGGCACATTCCGAACCTGTTCAATTAACTCCATTGACAGAACACCTGGTTCTGTAATATCACTTTCTGAAGACCTGAGGACGGATGTGATCCATGAAAAATTACTCCTCTCCTCGTTTGAGGAGTCCATTAAATTCCATAATTCAAATAACGATGCAACAATATCTTTAACCTGTGAATTAACAATACAGATTGAAACAAGTGAGAACTAAGATTAATGACCGCTCTGAAACAATAACACTGAGGATTCAGCTTACTTTCTGGATTCGAGACTTGCGTTCCACTTTCAACTTCCGAATGGCATGTTCTAGACCTTCCAGGGTACCATTGCTGATGTTAGTTGATTGTTCAATACCTGTACCTTGCAGACTTGGATGCACCTCGCTGACAGTTTTTCCAAAATCCAATCCAAGCACGCCACAGAGAGAATGTACCTCGTTTATGTACACTAGAACTTTCTGAAGGCGTTCAGACTGCAAAGAAACAAGTATAATCATACTATTAGTTGAGAACAGTAGAGAAATCAAGTGATACACAACACACTACACAAGACTGACACCTTGTGCATACATGCATCCATGTCCATACTACATGTAGTCCAGGAAGAATATGCATAATTCAAGTTTTGGTCTGTACTAGTGGATTTAATTCTGTTAATTATATAGAGTTCTTTAAAGAACCTATATTAAGGTGCTTCTTCACATGCTCTTAACAGAAGCCGAAAGTGAAACTGAAATTTCTAGGCATCGTGTCTTTTACCGAATATTCTCTTTTCAAATCTACTCCCCCTGTTTCATGTCACCAGCCAACCTATTCTTTAAAACTCTTCTTCTTAGCATAGGGTTGACAAAACTATTCTTCGTGCTCAAAGATATTGGACTGACATGTATTCAGAAGAGGTCCATCTTTCCTCACTCTCCAGAGGATCACAAAAGTAATCGTGTATTCAAGCTGAAGTATTTCATCTTATGCCTCAAACAAGCCAGGGAAAATTTAAAAGAATAGAGGAGGAGTTTTGAGCATCAGCTAAATTTGTCAAGCAAAAAATACCTTCTCCTTCTGAAGAGTGCGAAGGCGTGTTTGATATTCAGAAAGCCTTCTAAGGGACAAGTCTTCTTCATCCAGACTCAGGCTACTGCTTGCGCCATTATTTGCATAACCGTACTCCGATATCTCTCCACTGATCCTCTCAATCTGAGCCCGTATGTCAGCCAACTGTTTTATCCTTTCCTCTTTCTTTTTCCTCAGATCTTCCACCACAGGAGTCACAGAAGCAAGTTTCTGTTTCAATGACGCTGACCTCTTCTCAGCTTGAATCTGTAACATTTTGCATTAACAGCTCCATGAGCAACTGAAAATTGCCTAGAGAAATCTAAAGATATCTGCCAGGTTTGTTCAGACTAAGCAAAAAACTGTGGTATATCTATTATTATTTTGTCGATCAACACAAGAAAGTTCTCTTTGGATTGGTTTAATTGGCTATAAGTCACAGTCTGTGCAGATTCATATACTTATGAGAATTATATCTATCTCCATCTTACATGCTGCAGCATACTTGTCAACGAAATTAGGTGTTGATGGACCATGCAATCAAGCAGCATAATACCCACCAATCACGCCATGCTACATACACTTCAGTTAGTTCAAGAAAGCGTTTGGTTACATTAATTCTTCATATCGCTTTGTACAGGAAAGTGCTATCACTAACCCATCAATCAGCCATTTCTTCTATTAAGATTTCTGCAGTAGCAGCATCCTCTTGCACAATAGAAAAGTGTAAGTTCAGCTCATTAAAATCACCCAGTGAAATCCAGCATAAGATTTATTTTTGACAATCTGATCCATCCTCATGAACCCAAACAACTGAAGATCAACTGGCATCCAAATTTCAACAAGGCAACCTAAATTCCTAAACAGGATGCCCTTGACAGGGTGCGCAATATTTTATCTCACTTACATACTTTAAAATATGGGCTTTGGACATTCTTTTATGGTGTTGATTATCTTCTCAATGTTAATGATACAGTGACAACACAGCATGCCACAGAACACATGAAAGAGGAGAAACAGCAACTGATGGCAGGAAAAAGGTTTTGACTGAAATTGCGTTGTGGAACAAAATCACATGTTACGTGTAATTTCCTCTTACAGGCGAATGAATATTAAGATCTCCAAGAGCGGCCGTAAGTGTTGCAAGCTCAGCTTCCTTGGCTGCAACAGACTGATGTAGACGAGCCTTGGCATTGGCAGCCTCCTCAACCTTTCTTCTATAAACTTGTAAGCATTCAGCCTCCAATTCTATAAGCATGCGGTCTTTATCGGCTTCACTTTCTCCAATGTCAATCCATAATTGCTGCTCCAACAAAGAACAGGTTCAGTATCATCAAAGATGATGTATCGTCCACTCACCCACTCTTTCTACAGAAACTAATGAGCTTGAGATTTGACTGGAATTGCTTGACTATCGACTTAAACAGAAGGTCCCGTTCAGTTTAACAGAAATTTAACAGCTTTCCCCTCGGTTTAAACGATAATTAAAAAACAGTCCAGGAACTATTGCAATAATATGTTGATTTTAGTTTCTTTTTCTTTACATTGATGCAATAAAGAAGAATGATAGTGTTGCCGGACTTATTAAGAAAAATATTAGCCGAAAGCACTTCCTCTGAAACTTGAGGTCAACCCGTACTCTGACACACCAAAAATTCCTTTTCGACATTTATCCCAATAAGGAGGGAATTTCCCAAGAGTCCAATAGATTCCGAAACAAATAACATGAAGAAACTGGAAAGCAAGCTCACCGAAGGAAAAGAAATTGTAATTCGCCAAGAAGCTAATTCACAATTCGGAAATCCAAACAGCTATATCAACTTGCAGTCACGGTCACAGCACATAAAATGAAGAAAAGCTAACCCCATACAAAGAAATGATATAGTGCCAAACTTCTAAAATTCATTACACTGAAAAATATTTCATGTCACTAACGTCCACAAAGCAATCCTTTAAAGCAAATGTATGGAGCATATAAATTAAAAAGAAGTTAGAAATCCTTATGAACAGAGAGAACTACAGGAAGAATTACTTGACTAACAGGAAGTAGTTAGACGACTGTTTAGCCTAAGGATTAAAGGAAAAAGGATCCTAACAACACAAGCTCCGATAGACCAACAAACAATGATTTCATCAAAAAGCAAGATCAGTGCTTTCTTGTTTTAGCAGAGTAAAAACAGCATAAAGTCACGGAAAAAACTACCCATCATTAAAAAGTGATTTTCCACCAAAAAGATGACACATTTCCCTTTCCTATCAAAGAGCGAGCGGCCTTCACAAAAAGATCTTGAAAGAATTAAAAAAACAGTAAAAACAACGAAGAAGAAGAAGAAGAAAACGCTGGGAAGGAAAGACAGAGAGGAGTGAAAGGAAAGACCTGAAGTTCCCTGAGCAGAGTATTGCAGCTGGAGCTTGAAAACAAGCTGCTTGAAGGACTACCGATCGCCAGCATTTCTCACACCAATTCCTCTCTCTCTCTCTACAGAGTAGCGAAAATGAGAAACCCACCAAGGTTTTCACTCCCCCCCCCCGCCCACAAGAAACCAACAGAGAACACGGGGCGTCGAAAAACTCCAAAACTTGCAGCTTCCAAGAAACCAAAAACGAGCTCACTCCTTTCCACTTCAAGCGAGAGTCACGCCGCAAGAAGCCAAGACACTCCGGTCTCTATCTCCATTGCTCGAAACGACCTCTTCTTGCCCAGATCTGGAGCCGAAACACCCACGCTCACACACCCACACACACACCCACACACGCTACCGTTCCTTGCTCCCCCGCTTTCCCTCACCGCCAAGCAAGAATCTTTACAACAGAACCCCTCGAAACGGTCCGAACCCAGAACGAGGAACCCACGGCAGAAGCTAAAGAACGGAGCTTTGATCCGTGCGGAGTAAAAGCTTCAGGTAAGGCTAATCTAGAGAGAGAGAGAGAGAGAGAGAGAGAGGGAATGCAAGAAGCTAAGAAGCATCCAACCCCAACCGACAGGAGAGAGAAAGGGGGGGAGAGCGAGTGAGTCCCTTTTCAGGGCTTGGAGGTTAGGCTAGAATGCGCCGGTAAAGGAGCTGCGCAGATTAGCCATTGGTAGGGTTCTTCCTCCTTCTTCTTCTTCTTCTCTCTCTCTCTCTTGCTTGCTCGGAGACGACGATCGGACGATGATCTGGTCTGAACCTTGAGCAGACAGTGGGAAATCGCTCGAGCTCCATTATTATCTAAAAAATTTTCTCGGAAAATGTGGGTCTGAAAATGGGGTTGGGAAAAAAATATTTCCCCCACCCGCAGCTTCAGGGCGTCGCACCCACGGACCAACCGCGGGCGCGCGTCCGACCCCGCGATCTCGGCGGCGCGTGAGGCTCGTGTATTGACTCGAGTAGCTGTTGATGTTGACGTACGAAGGCATGCATAGGATAGGACGGTGAAATTTTTCCATTTTTTATTATTTTCCCTCCCTTTCTTTTTTCTCTCTTGCTAATGTTTTTTATTTACAATCCAGCAAAAAAAATGTTTTTTTATTTACATTTTCATTTATTTATTTATAATTCTCGACCAAGAAAAAAAAATTATTCTTTATAATTACTTAATTTGTTTTTTGATCGATAATTCATTAATTTATAAAAAAAAAAAAAGTGGAATCATCGAATTGCATTGTCTCTATCGTGGAAAGGTGAGTTTGGTGAGTTCGAACATGTGACTCGGAATTATACGTCACCCACCTAATTATTTCCCGAATTATATGTCCGATGCATAATGTGAGGAAAAAGTTATACTCTGTTCATGAATTTCACATGTGAATGGATCGATATAGACCAAAAATAATTTGACTAAAATCAGTGGCTTGACTCGGAGAGTTTAAAGAAAAGGTTACTGACTTTTCTTGCGTTTTTCAACAAAGAAAAGGTGGGAGGAACTGCCGGCGCGTTAAATCCTCGGAAATTATCATAGGGTGACTTTGTAATTGTTTTGGAATATTCGAGTTTAGGGCTATGGAGAGGTCGCCATTATTCGAGATTGAACGAGTCTTGTTGCCATAGCCGTATCGAGATGACAGCTAGCATTCTTAAACTCGTGCATCGAGGCATGATACACACATCACTTCAGTGAGAGAGTTCAAACTCATGACCTTTGGTTTGGACTTGTCGGCCCATATTTAGCATCACTATCGATGATTGGGTTGCGACCGACCCTAATTGCTACTTAAAGATCTTCATATGAAGCTCTAATCTTGATTTATTTAAACTTAACATGAGAGGGATTGACTTGGTAATTATAGAAGATTTGGTTGTACTTAAGCACACAATGCATTCTCGATTTCTCGTAATACCGAGTACAAGCAATCTCATGTTTCAGCTATCCACCTTGGCATCTACGCATATATTAAATAATCTATGAATTAGTAAAGTATTTCGTACGTCTAAGGTAGAGTTTCAACTCATGGATTATTGCCTTGATCATTTTTCTAAAGGAGACTTATTAGGAAGCGTAATACAAACTGGATACCTTAGTTTAGGAAGGTCATTTGAAAGATAGCAAAAGTCTTAACACATTTTGTTAATATATCTAGTTGAATTAATTTTCACTCAAAAGTTTAAATTAATGAATTATTTAACATTGATACGTATTAGTTGTGTTGCACGTATCAATTCTTTAATACGGAATTTCACCTGCCACCACTTACACGTTGACCTTAACAACGCCTCCCCCACCCCAACATATGAGTCTCCTGTGTTAGGCTTTCGCTCCTTTAATCCAATGCCTCAACTGGATCTTGAACATGTTGCATAGTAGAATCTCAATAAGTATCCTTAAGTTGTGATGCATTAATACACCAAGATGCCATGTCTTTCACTCGGGGTCCCCTTGCCAAAATCAGTCATGATGGCAAATTCTCATCGGGAAATTATGTCGATTCGAGAAGATTTCTTTATCAAGATATTCATAATGACATCAACAGACATTGGGAACACAATTGATCATTGGCTTTGACTGTTGAGATACATATGTGAATTATGTTAGAAAAAGTCTCACATTGAAAAATTGTTTATGGTGTAGAGTAGTTAATATATCTAAGTTAGCTTATAATTCATTAATTTAAATTTTTGAATGAAAATGGGTCCAATTATATATTTTGACAAATTCGAACCTGAGCTCCTCTTGGCAATCTCCCCCATTGAAGGTATTAGGTTTCTGCTATGCATTCCCAACAAATGATCAGATCTGATTGTTGATTGGTGGCAACTTCCAATGCTTATGATGCTTAGTGAATATCTCAAGGAATAAATTAAACCAACACGATTTCCAGGCAGCTTTCATGGTTTGGTCTAGTGGAAGAGACTTAGAGTGAAGTGGGCGTTGTGAAGTAGCAACGCGGTCCCGATGGCAACCTTTGTAATTTAGTTTGGAAAAAGAGATCGAGGATGAAGGTGAGCATTGAAGATTCAAGTTGAGAAATATTGGTGTAGAAATATTCCTGAATTAAAATGGAGTAGACCTAACACTGAGCACACATGTGAGAAGGGAGATTATTGAGATGCATGTACAAGTTGTATAGAAAAAGTCTCACATCGGATAATTGGTTTAGTGTGGAGTAGTTAATAATTTCATTTGGCCCATAACTCATTGCCCTATACCTTTTAAGTGAAAGTAGTTCCAACTGGATATATTGACGAGTTCGAACTTGCGCTCCCTCTTAGCGATCTCCCCTATTGAAGATATCGGACTTCTGTTACATACTCCCAACATCTGTAACATTTATTAGAGTGAGCCACACAAGTTCAATATCTCAATCTGAGGAAATCATCAAGATAGAGCTTAATTTTGAGCTCTTAATATATCTCGTCGCACTCACATTTACTAAAAAACTTCCGTAAGATGGGGAAAGAGGAATTTTAAAATATTACTTCAAAATTCATTCCTTCTTTTGTCTCTAGCTTCCCAAAAGAAATAAATGCACAATTAATCCTAAATCTATTATATGGAAACCAATCAAGTCCCATTTTTTAATTAAATCAATATAGTCTTAAACCTCTAATAAAAAATGCAACAATCCTCTCGCCCAAGTCCTGCCCGATTTATCTGACATGGCAGTTTAGTCACCGTCAACTATCCTACGTATAAGGATGATGTCATAATGTAGAATGTTTTTCTATGAAACTACGCCATTCTTGTATTTAAATAAATCACTCATTTCCTTAATAAGTTGTTGTGCACCAAGACTCGATATATATGTTCGATACTACCCTTTGGTGATGTAATTTAGCATCATTTTAGTAAACATCTCTCGTAGTTTATCTCTCAAAACATGCTAGTGACACGTGCACGATGGACAAAATAGGAAGATACCCCGATGATGGGCAAAGTCCCAGCAGGGGGGGAAAGGGGCGGAAGAAAGAAAAGTTATGCTCTTCTTTCGAAATGGTAATAATTAACAGCTGAAAGTCGATCAAACTGGCTGGTACGAAGAAGACACGACAAGTAAACTATACACACACAAACATGTACGTGTACGAAAAGACACTATATTTATATTTATGTATATAAGGAAATTCTCATTCATGAACCTCGAGGGTACACGAGCTAAAGATTATTCTCAGCATTATCTAGGACAGCATATATTTAATAAAGCCGGACAAGATAAGATTTATGTAATCTAATGCGCCAAATGCAAGGCCCCACAGGGCAGGCACATCATTAAAGGGATTGAGTTGGGTGGACTGCTGGTACTAAGGAAAGATTTTGCAGCACTCATCTGCAAAAGAAAAAAAGAAAGAAAGATCAAAGCACTAAAATAATTAAAAAAAAAATAACGAGAGAGAGAGAGACGCTTTCTTATCTGTCAGTTTGGAAGCTGTCTAAGTTTCTATTTTCAAATGTGATTCTTGCATGCAGGTGAGACAAGAAAATGATGTTCGATTCTGTGTGTTTCTCGTTCAGAAACTACATGTGTGACTATATTTTACATGATTTTCTTTTTATTTTTTCATTTTCAATGGACCAGTCGAAGTCCGCAAAGGCCGACTATATCGTGGATGCAGGAATCGGTTTAATTTCCTGGCATTAAATTGGTTTTCTCCTGAGCTTTTGTTTGTTGCATTTGGATAATCATCAAGTTCATTTGTCTTGTCACATGAAAACGAGGAGCTTTTCAATTATGTGGTAGCTCACGGTACTATTATTCTTTTTGTAATGATCTAATGTACATCCATCATTATCATTTGGTAGTTTTGTGGCGATTATTGATATATATGCAAAACATCGTTCGTATCTAATTTGATTCTAAAGACCAAAATTAATTATATAAGATCCTATCCCTAATGTATTAATCACATCAATGTCACAATCAAAGATCTAAGAAACCCATAGTGATACTTTATTTTGAAAATTAGATCAAGGAATTGCTGGAATTTGTAAAATGTTATAACCGTCAGCAAAGCACCATCAAAAATAACTTTTGTGAAGAAATATGTAACATGAAGGCAATAGTACTGTATGAAAGTAAGACTCCTTTAATTTCGTGATCCGGTGG